GTTCATGGTGTGTTCATGATGTGTTCATGTGTGTTCATGTGTGTTCATGGTGTGTTCATGGCGTGTTCATGGTGTGTCCATGGCGTGTTCATGGTGTGTTCATGGCGTGTTCATGGTGTGTTCATGGTGTGTTCATGATGTGTTCATGTGTGTTCATGTGTGTTCATGGTGTGTTCTTGGCGTGTTCATGTTGTGTTCATGTTGTGTTCATGGTGTGTACATGGTGTTCAGGGTGTGTTCATGGTGTATACATGGTTTGTTCATGTGTGTTCATGGTGTGTTCATGTGTGTTCATGGTGTGTTCATGGTGTGTTCATGGCGTGTTCTTGGCGTGTTCATCTTGTGTTCATGGCGTGTTCATCTTGTGTTCATGTTGTGTTCATGGTGTGTACATGGTGTGTACATGGTGTGTTCATGGTGTGTTCATGGTGTGTTCATGGCGTGTTCATGGTGTGTTCTTGGCGTGTTCATCTTGTGTTCATGTTGTGTTCATGGTGTGTTCATGGTGTGTTCATGGTGTGTACATGGTGTGTTCATGGTGTGTTCATGGTGTGTTCTTGGCGTGTTCATGTTGTGTTCATGGTGTGTACATGGTGTGTTCATGGTGTGTTCATGGTGTGTTCATGGCGTGTTCATGGCGTGTTCATGGCGTGTTCATGGTGTGTTCATGTGTGTTCATGGTGTGTTCTTGGTGTGTTCATGTGTGTTCTTGGTGTGTTCATGTTTGTTCATGGTGTGTTCATGTTGTGTTCATGTTGTGTTCATGGTGTGTTCATGTTGTGTTCATGGTGTGTTCATGTGTGTTCATGGTGTGTTCATGTTGTGTTCATGGTGTGTTCATGCCGTGTTCATGGTGTGTTCATGGCGTGTTCATGGTGTGTTCATGTGTGTTCATGTGTGTGTTCATGTGTGTGTTCATGTTGTGTTCATGCCGTGTTCATGCCTTGTTCATGGCATGTTCATGGTGTGTTCATGGTGTGTTCATGCCTTGTTCATGGCATGTTCATGGCGTGTTCATTGTTGTGTTCATGCCGTGTTCATGGCGTGTTCATGGTGTGTTCATGCCGTGTTCATGGCGTGTTCATGGCGTGTTCATGGTGTGTTCATGGTGTGTTCAGGGTGTGTTCATGCCGTGTTCATGTTGTGTTCATGGTGTGTTCATGGTGTGTTCATGGTGTGTTCATGCCGTGTTCATGGCGTGTTCACGATGTGTTCACGGTGTGTTCATGGTGTGTTCATGCCGTGTTCTTGTTGTGTTCATGGTGTGTTCATGGTGTGTTCATGTTGTGTTCATGCCGTGTTCATGGCGTGTTCATGGTGTGTTCATGGTGTGTTCATGCCGTGTTCATGGCGTGTTCATGGTGTGTTCATGGTGTGTTCATGGCGTGTTCATGGTGTGTTCATGGCGTGTTCATGGCGTGTTCATGGTGTGTTCATGCCGTGTTCATGCCGTGTTCATGGCATGTTCATGGCGTGTTCATGACGTGTTCATGGCGTGTTCATGGCGTGTTCATGGAGTGTTCATGCCGTGTTCATGTTGTGTTCATGGTGTGTTCATGGTGTGTTCATGCCGTGTTCATGGCGTGTTCATGGCGTGTTCATGGTGTGTTCATGCCGTGTTCATGTTGTGTTCATGGCGTGTTCATGGAGTGTTCATGGTGTGTTCATGTTGTGTTCATGCCGTGTTCATGCCGTGTTCATGCCGTGTTCATGTTGTGTTCATGCCGTGTTCATGCCGTGTTCATGCCGTGTTCATGGCGTGTTCATGCCGTGTTCATGCCATGTTCATGCCGTGTTCATGGCGTGTTCATGGTGTGTTCATGGCGTGTTCATGGCGTGTTCATGGTGTGTTCATGCCGTGTTCATGGCGTGTTCATGGAGTGTTCATGCCGTGTTCATGTTGTGTTCATGGCGTGTTCATGGTGTGTTCATGGCGTGTTCATGTTGTGTTCATGGCGTGTTCATGCCGTGTTCATGGAGTGTTCATGCCGTGTTCATGGCGTGTTCATGCCGTGTTCATGCCGTGTTCATGGAGTGTTCATGCCGTGTTCATGGTGTGTTCATGGCGTGTTCATGGTGTGTTCATGGCGTGTTCATGGAGTGTTCATGCCGTGTTCATGCCGTGTTCATGGTGTGTTCATGGCGTGTTCATGTTGTGTTCATGCCGTGTTCATGTTGTGTTCATGGCGTGTTCATGGAGTGTTCATGGAGTGTTCATGGCGTGTTCATGTTGTGTTCATGCCGTGTTCATGCCGTGTTCATGGCGTGTTCATGGCGTGTTCATGCCGTGTTCATGCCGTGTTCATGGTGTGTTCATAGCGTGTTCATGGTCTGTTCATGGCGTGTTCATGCCGTGTTCATGGTGTGGTCATGGCGTGTTCATGCCATGTTCATGTTGTGTTCATGCCGTGTTCATGTTGTGTTCATGGCGTGTTCATGGAGTGTTCATGGCGTGTTCATGTTGTGTTCATGCCGTGTTCATGCCGTGTTCATGCCGTGTTCATGTTGTGTTCATGCCGTGTTCATGTTGTGTTCATGGCGTGTTCATGGCGTGTTCATGGCGTGTTATTGGCGTGTTCATGCCGTGTTCATGTTGTGTTCATGGCGTGTTATTGGCGTGTTCATGTTGTGTTCATGCCGTGTTCATGCCGTGTTCATGGCGTGTTCATGCCGTATTCATGGCGTGTTATTGGCGTGTTCATGGCGTGTTCTTGGCATGTTCTTGGCGTGTTCATGGCATGTTCATGGCGTGTTCATGGCATATTCATGGCGTGTTCATGGCATATTCATGGCATGTTCATGGCGTGTTCATGGCATGTTCATGGCGTGTTCATGGCATATTCATGGCATGTTCATGGCGTGTTCATGGCGGTGCGGCTGAGTCTGACATCATGTCGCTGACGTACGTTTGCTTCTAAATCCACATACT